TAAATAAAAATAAATAAATAAATAAAATCCATGCACTATAAAGATGGAAATATATATATGAAAATGAATGACCAAAATGACCTGAGGTTATTATATGAGTCTATGTGTCAGAGGGGATTCGACCCCCGATCTGAGAGGTCTTATACCATGGATACCAACCAACAGGACAAGGTACGCGACACACACACACACACACACACACACACACACACACACATATATATGGGACAGCCAGCTTATAAGTGCGGCAGCATTTTTGAAAACGCCGCCACACTGTTTGTTTCTCACATTTTACCGGCGTTTTGAAAATCATGGTTTTTATTTTGTGAATAACGTCGCCCGCGGGATCATCCTTGCGGGCGGCGTTGCTTACGTTTTGTCCAAAATTACTCCCCTACCCTGGAATCTCGCGATCGAGCTCGCAGAGCCGCTTCTTCGGCACTCCTTGTCTCCGTGTTCCTTTGGCACTGCTTCTTTGCTTGGAGCGGGCGAGACCAACGAAGGAGAAGAAGGCAAAGACATGCGCGACGTGCAGGGAGGAATTACGACACGGCTAGGGTTCGTGCAGACAGTGATCAAGTTATGGTTGTGGGCTTTCGGCTCAAACAAGAAGCGTTAAGTATTTTTGATTCTTGCATAGAGGGATATCAATGCTTCTGCTATTTTGATTTTGAACAGGGGTCTTTTCACCCACTTTCTCCTTCATTGTTTTCACCTTTCTCTGCTTAGTAAGGTGAAAATGTATCGAAGCTTCTGAGTTCCGAGCTACAGGAACAAGCACGTTTGTGAGTCGATGGATCAATTTTTTTCACAATGGTAACTGCTTCAGTAGTTTGCATTCCCCTTTCCCTTCAAAATTGCTTATCAATTTGATTTTCTTGCACATCCTTTACCTCTCAGCTCCAGGAATCATTTTCTTATGGACGCATTATCTACTTATTGATGCCCGCCAGGTTAGATTTAAGGAAAATATGAAGTCGGGAAATAAATTGGAAGAGTAGAAGAGGCACTGTGTTGCATCTATGAATTTAAATGGCTGAGAAACAGAAAAAGAAGGAAGATATTTTTGTTTATAAATTTTCACTGTTTTCTCTTATGTTTTAACATGTAAAAACTTGAAATCTGTGCTACAGTGCTTTGCTGGAGTGCTTTTATTTGTTCTTTAATACGGATGAATACTCACCATGATCAGTGTCACAGAACACTGGCACTACCGTGTTGGCCTTGGTGCTCTAATATTTGATGTGGGCTTGATTGTTTGAGCATTTATGTTATCTTAAAAAATCTTCAGCCATTTTAAATAAATAAACAAATTCACAGTTTATTAAACTAATGTTAATCAAATTTTTGTGAAGATGTGGTGATCCAAATTATTTTATTCTTTTTGTATTCTAATGTATGAATTTAGCATCTACTTTTATGCATCATTGTGTCGATTCAAGCTCAACAATACCTAAAATTGGGGCCGCTTGAAGAGTTGTCATGTGAAGACTCATGATTGTAATAACTTGCCTATCATGTACAAGGTCTATTGTATATTGTCTATAACATTCCATATGAATTAATGTTATGTTGCAATTTTTTTGTGGTCAGTATGTGTCGAATGAGTCTGAAGGGGTTAATTGGTTCTAAAATATCTAACAAATATACATTTCATTTTGTTGAGAAAATTACAAATTCTACGTGACAGATTATTCATTTAACTAAAAAAATCTACAAATAAGTTGTTTACAAAATGCACAAACCAAACAGTTAAACAGTTTATCCAGAACAGGGGAAGAATGGTCATTTATCCAGAATCAGATGTTTTTCAAATGCACAAACCAAACAGTCAACCAGCTTATCCGGATCAGCTGCTCATCAGCAGATTATCAGGATAAGTTATTTATCAGCATAAGTTGGATAAGAGTTGGATAAGCTGCAGCTGCCCCAAACAGACCCTAAGTTGTGTTGCTAAGATGAGAATGCATAGGTGGATGAGTGGCTTGACAATTAAAGAAAAAAAGGGAAATGAATGTAACTGTGAAAAGGTTTGTGTAGCTCCAGCGACAAACAAGATTAGAGAAAGTCGTCTTAAGATGATTTGATCACATTCGACCATCTGATGGTCCGATTAGGAGAGTAGACGTTTTAGATTTGAATTATATTAAGAAAGGTAGAGGTAGACCTATATAGGCTTGGGCTTGTTGTATAAAAAATGATCTTAATTTATTAGGGTTAAATGAAAATATGACACTCAAGAGGACACAATTAAGAAAAAGAATTCATGTAGTTGACCCCACTTAGTGGGATAAAGGCTTGTTATTGTTGTTGTATTATCTCTCACGTGAGTCGTCATATTATCCTTCTTCCTCTCCAAGACTACCGATTTCTTCTTTGTTGCATCAGGATTAACATAATAAGTACAAATATAATAAAGAAATAGTAGACAACAATTTATTACATAATTCATAAAGAATATACTTTAACAACCTTTTGAGATATGTGGTATCTGAACTCATTTGCATTTGGTGGATCTTCACCAACTTTCACAACTTTTTTGTTACATTAATAGCATAAAAACAAATATCTTCATTATTATCTAATATCACAATACTTTCTTCATTTCCTTTCTCATCTTGGTTAACCACCATTGATCATGCGAAAGCAAATCATCAAGAATCAAACAATTATCATCTTTGTATGAAGTTAATCAAAGGTCTCTATTTTTTTTATTTCTTATAGTAAATGGCATAAACAAATTTATTCATCACAACTAAAATCAAATGATTTGTTCATTTTATATGCACTTAGTTGAATGAGCTTAAATGAAAATATGACACTCAATAGGACACGACGGAGAAAAAATGATTCATGTAGCCGACCCCACTTAGTGGGATAAAGGATTTTTGTTATTGTCGTTGTTGTTGTTGTTGTATATGCACTTAGTTAAATGTGCTTCAATTTTGTTTACACGTAGAAGATAAACATGTTAAACTTAAGACTCTAACTACCAACTCATTTTAATTTTAATGTTTCATCTCCAATGTGCACTATGATTCACAAGTTAGAAAAAAATAGAATGAGAATAATATTAATTATATATTTAAGAAATCTGAAAATAAATTTAATGTCAAGTAAAGTTGATAAATATACTATTGATAACTGTGTTTTGTAAGATAATTAGGAAGTTATCATGCAAAGCATTCCGCTCTTTGAATTAACCTTCTCAAGTTCTTATTAATAGCTTATTATACTCTCCATATATTTATAAAACCAATTTTAACTTCCGTGCATACAAAGATGCTACAACGAAAATAAACAAATTGTTTAAAAAACATCCAACATAATGAAAATCATGATGTGATTGGTTGTAGCATTTTTAATTAATAACTATTAAAATATTTTTATAAGTTGATTCTTCTCCACCTAAGTTCTTCGTTATTTTTTTATTTTGCCTCCTCTATGGCACCAAAGATAAAGCCCATTGTAAAACACTTTTCACCATCAACCATTCTCAGCACTTCAATGAAAGCTTTGAATTTCAAAAGTGTATGTCACACACTGCAAAAACGTATTATACCTTAAAATATTGCTAAAACATATCATCTCTTAAAATCCCTTTTTTTTCACTTGTTCCCTTCAGATTTTTTGGGTCATGTACTATAACTCCATTAATCCAAAGTAAAAATTGCCACTGATTGAATCCTGACTCCATGAATGTTTTGTAAAGTCAAACAAGCAATAACAAACATTATGATTGCTGATCTAATAAGATCTTTATTTGTAAATTATCACATTAAACTCAATAGCCAATTAAAATTGTAGATGAAATTGCTAATTTTTTTGTTTAATCAAAGCATTTTTAGATTGTGGAAAAACTCCGAGCTTTTTTACAAATAAATCAAAATAGTGGGTTGCAAAGGAATCAAATATAAATGGTTTCTTTTGAAAATTAACATCCTTCCCGACTCCTTATATACACTTGCATTATCTATTAACACTTGAACAATTAAATATCCTCCAATCACCGCAACAATATTATCAAGCATTGTGAATAAAAATGGTGCATCTTTAATAAACTTAAATGTGTCAACACATCTCAAATATATTGTTCCATTAGGATTGTTGACTAAGAATTCAATCAAGCTTCAACTACTTATTTTATTCCAACCATTTGATGGCATGTATATTTATTTTTGAAATATCTTGTCATTATTATTCACTTCTTTCTTCAATATTTATATTCAAAGCTCATGCATGTTTGGAGGATTCAATCATCAGACATGATTCCCAATGGATTGTACCATACTACAAAAGAATGGACGCCTTGTAACATTAAAAGAAAATATATAATTTATAGAAAAATATTTTAATATCCATACAAACTTAATTCCAACATTTTTTAGAGGGACTATTGGTATATTTTGACTTCAATCCTTAATTACATGACCCAAATATTCAATAAATCAATCCACAATGCCTCTAATTCCTCTCTATAAAAAAATTTACTATCTGTACCATTAGTAAGACCACCAATAGAACTATCGGTAGGACCAGAGGTCCAAAAGCTAAAGAAAGAATGCTCAATAATTTCATATATACTTTGTTGGTGTTGAATCTTTCTCATTGTAAGGGAACTCAAATAGCTCAATATATCTCGCTTAACTTCATCTAGAACTTTCTCACATGGTCTCAGATCCATATGAATCTAAGCAAGATGATCCTTTAGTCATTTAACAGTTAGAATAATTTTGCTGCAAAATTTTACTTTTAATATGCATGTAGCCTTTCTTGACCATCTCTGTGTCAAAATCAACTCCAACCTGTACTTCTAAGCAAAATCTTTTCTCTTAACAACTTTCACCATTGCAGTTTACAAAAAACTAGTAGAACATCAAAAAAAAATCTAAGAAATTATGTATAAAATGTTCAAATAAAATACCCTAATAAACAAATTTTATAAAATAATCAGTTATTGAAGGACATGTGAGAACAATATTAACTACTTTGATTGCCTAAAATGATGCCATTCATCAATGTTTAATAATAGGGTTAAATAAACTAATAAATTTACTAAATATTATAACAGACTGAATGTGCATTCAATCATATGCCATGCTCAAAAACAAATTTTGAATCGTGATTATCTTTGGTATGATTCTAAAACTTTACAACGAAAATTTTGTAAATCAAGTTTATAGTGAAACAAATCATTAAAAAAATAATCTTACAAAGGAAATAAGAAATGACTTAATTAAATTCAATATATGGAATAAAACAACATTATCATTCATAAATATAAGATCAAAAAATATGAATGGTACAACTTTAGTAAATTTACACCTCAAGGTTAATGCATTTAAATCATTCAATGATTGGAAAATTATGATTAAATAAGTGAAAAAAATTTCACTTGTTTTATTGTTATCTTTGCTTAAATCTATACTATGTGAATGAATGAGGTGTGCTTGGGGTGAAAGATGAGCGGCTCCTCTTGTGTGAGAGAGAGAACAGAGAGGAAGATAGAAATTGAGATAGGGATAAAAAGAGAGGACAAAGGGGTGATAAGAGAGGTACCAAAGACCGTGGGGTAGGCAATCAGGAGAAAGAAAGGGTGAGAAGTAGATATTCGAGATCAAGAGATGGATTAAAGGACAGGAAGGAGTAGGGCTGTCCAAAATGTTTTTCGTTCGCAAACAGCTCGTTTTCGACTCGTTAAGTAGCCCGTGTTCGATTCGTTCATTAACAAAGCGAGCCAAGCACAAACAATTTTTTTTAGCTCGGTTTATAAATGAGCCGAACAAAAGTTTGCTTGTTTGTTCGTGTTCTACTTATTTTGGCTCGAAATAATTAGATAATTAAATAATGATATTTATTTATATTATATTAATTTTTATATTGTATTTAAGAAAAAAATGGCATATAAGAGATTTGGGTGGTATAAATGCAAAAAGTAAAATTTAGATGTTGGATATGTAAATAGATAGGAATTGGATGGTAAGTATTTAAATGCCCAAAAGAATAAAAACAAACCTAAGCCCAATCAACTCACGGCAGGTTATTGTTCGCAAACAGCTCATGTTTGAATTGTTCGTTAAGTAAACAATTCAAACATGAACAGTTTTTTACGCTCGAATTATAAAAAAGCCAAACATGAACAAAATTAAATTTGAATGAGCCAAACATGAATAAAATTAAATTTGAACGAGCCGAATATGAACAAGCCTTGTGCTGGCTCAAGCTTTGGCTCTTTTACACTCCTAGAAAGGACCAACGAGAAAGAGGCTAAAGGTTGTGAAAAATGATCGAGACTCGACAGAGGCGAGAGGCAGCATTAGGTTATTGTAGCAACCTTGAGAGTTTTAACATTTTATTTGATGTACAATTTGAATGAAGGCTAAGGATTGATTGTAAGAATTCATTGTAGCAACCAAAATTTTGTTTTTTTAATTAAAAATATATTAAAATTTTAAATTTTAAGCAATTATAAACCAACTCTTTTGTTGGTTTTAAAGCACTTAGATTCAAAATAAAGATGAGGGATTTGAAAGTTTGTGGGAAAAATAGTTTTGAAATCTTATAGCCAACACCTCAAAATAAAACAGTCTTCAAGACAGTTTCTAAAATCTTTTTTAAAAGAAGGGACAAGATATATTCAGGCTAACTCCATGAGCGGTTGGCGACAAAATCATGTATATCTATAATATGCATTTTGATGTTCATGATTAGATATTGCAAATCTAACTATAGAGATTTGAGATTGCATGATCAATAGGGTGTAAATTTAGCTCGAAGATCATTAATCGCTCAAAAATTTATTAAAATTGTGGTTCAAATAGAAATAAACGAGCCGAGCTACGAGCCAAAATCTTGGATTTATTTTTTTTCGAGTCGGCCCCAGCTCAGTTCGAAATCAGATCTTTAAAAGCTTTGATGATCAATGAGTTCATGTTGCCTGTACAAGCTCGTGAATGATCCTCAAAGTAGAGATTTAAACTATTGTGGAAAGCATGTGTTGGTTGACAAACATTGACCTATCTTTTTCATCTTTATCTTTTGCTTGATTATTGTAACATAAGCATGCATGCAATTATAGTGTCATATGCTACTTTGATGTTGATTTCAAGGTAATAAACACAGACAATAACACTAAGGCAGTGTTTAGTTGCGATGCAGTTTTATGTTAAATAGGATTTATCAAATCTGCAAAATCCTGTGAGCTCGCAATAGAGATGGAGCAAGCGAGCACGCGAGCAATGGCGAAGTAAATATCTGTCTCACAGTTGGATTTCATAAATCCGGAATTATGTACACCAGACGGAACAAGGCGAAAGAGACGGAAAAAGAGCGAATTGGATTTAACGAAGATTTGGTTTTTGTTTTCCCTTTTTTTGGTGTTTGGCTGGATTTAGGTTAAATCCATGGCTAAATCTTGTTAAGAGTGTGCTACTAAACAAACCCTAAGTTTGGACACCATGGATTGCAATTGAGACATTGTTGTCTAGGTTGCTAGCAATTCTCAAGTCAATGAGCTTGAATTGCTAAAAACTCCAACATCAAGTCTAGGGTTCCCAAAACTAAGGCAAAATTGAAATCCAAGTGATGATGCCTTGATATCTTGGAACCTGAGTAGCAATACCAAGGTTGCTAAAAACTTGTATATTATGTTCCCAAAAACTTGGCAAGATTGTAACCAGCAGTTCAAGCTTGAGTTCCAACAAAACCAAAAAACATATAGGTTCTTCACTTATATTGTCTATATCACCAATAACGAAAAAAGTTGTCCACATCACCAAAATAGCGAAGTCATAGAAATGCTGCCTATTACATCCAAAGGCAACCCACATGGGTTTCTTTATCAATTTTTTTTAACAAAAGAATAGGCCAGGTCTCCTCCATGTAGCCACAAAGACAGGCAATGCTAGCTAACGCCAATCCTCAAAGCAAAAATCGCAATGAAAAAATAAATTTGAAAAGAAAAGGTCATCTTCAGCGTTAAATTGCAAGGAGTGATAACTTACAATAATGCGCCCCTCGATTCTAAGATCCTTCTGCTCGAAAAGCCAGATCTGAATTCGCGCTTTCTGAGGCAGTTCAGCAATCAAGGCTCAGAAGCTAGCAATAAAATCAAAAGAGAAATAATCAAATAATCAAATAAAACTTACGCTCTGGAGGAACCTAAAGATCAGATTCTGCAATCAGCCGCCCAGAAACAAACCCAGTCAACAGAAGCAAAAACAAATTAGAATAGTAATTGAGAAGGTTGATTAGAAAAAGATAGGAACAAAGAGTGAACAGAAAATATGCTTCAGCACACGTACGATGGGTTGTGTCATAATCCTCTGGACTTTGGTGGTCGCCATGGCTGCTTCCTGTGCCTCTGCTTCTCCGCCGCAAGCTTTCTGTCTTCCGAGGGAGCAAGAAATGTGACGAGAGGCACCTCGATAAAACCCTAAAGGGCTTTATTTGTATAATTGAACGATACTGCAGCAATTGTTTGATTTGTGCTGGCTTGAGTTCGAATTATGTTAACAGTGCCATCACTACTAGGGTTTGCCATTTTTTCTTCTTATAAAGAGCCCAAGTTCACGGTTTGAGGAAATTTTATTTAAAGGCAAAGTCCAAAAAAACACTTCTATAAAATTATCACCAATAAAATAACATGGATGCTTGAATATAAAATTTTATGTGTATTTTTTACACTATTAATTATAACGTCAAAAATTAAAAGACTATAATAACCCGAATCTATTCTCATCAGCAATTCCCAATCATGAGTTTCATGTGTTGTTCTTGACAAGATGTCAGAGTTCTCTCTTCTTGATGTGTGTTAGAAATTCTTAGTAGTAGGGTAGCAAATTATTGACTTAGGCTTCATTTGAGCTGAATTTCTAGCGCGACGCGGTCCCAAGCCGCCCTTTTTTTGTCGTTTGGCTGCCGCGTTTTCGTGATGTGCCCGAAAATTTCTGCGGAAAGTGCAAGTCTGACCCTGCCTGCAGGTCCGACCCCGCAACCCGTGTTTTCGTTCCTTTTTTTTTTACTGCACTTCCTATGTCGCCCCTCGCGCCCGAGCCCTCTCTCGCAATTCTTCCCTCTCTTCTTAGCCAGAACGACGGTGGCTTCTCGGGATAGAGCTCCTTTCAAATCGACTAGTGGTCTCCGACAGGGATGAAGCTCAAATTTGCTATAGGTAATCGAGTCTTTGATCGAAGCGGATGTCGACCGAAAGAGGGCGCTATCCGCATCTTTGGGAGAGAACAAGACTCGCCATTTAAGGATTCTGCGCCTCTCCGTCCATAATAAAGCGGGAAAGGGGTGGCATACTGGGGCTCGGAAGAATGATTTCGTATCTCGTTTCTACAGGGAACTGCGAGGAAGAAAGGAGGATGATGAGGGTTCTTCTGTCGACCCACTAGAACTGCATTATTTTGGGATTAGGATCTACAGTGATGCTTGCTCTTTGATTTAGCATATATATATATATATATATATATATATATATATTGCTAGCTGTTGGATTTACTAGTTCTATTGTATTCAATTGGAAGAAACAAAAGAATGTTTTTTAACCATCTAATGCCAATTTTTTTCTTTTAAGAGATAATTACATACACAACATCCCAAAGAGATGCTTTTATTGGACTTGGTTAGGTATATATAAGAATCATGCGATTGTGATGTTCTTACTGAGACGTTAACGATTTCAATGATATGTGTGTAAATATTAAAGTGTAGGTACTACATATGTGTGTATATAAGAATTATGTGCAGTGTATGTGAATGCCTTGGGAATCGTTCAAGACTTTCCAACAGGGGTAGAGTGGTCATTTGTCCAGAAATAACTGTCACACGACTATTTTCAATCTGCAAAAAATAAACAGCAAGTCAGTTTATTCATAGTAGATTCTACGCAGCAGCTTCATGAGGCAACTGTTATGTAGCAACTTATTGATAAGTTGTACCTGCGCCAAACAAGCCCTTGGTGTGGTAAGAAGATTTAATGCACATTCAGAGGAGAGAAAACCAACTAGTAATGACGCCAGAAGTTCTTGTGTGGAAAATAGGTAAAGGAAAAAACCACGGGGTCTGTTTTAGCTAAAGAATTCCACTGTAAATGATGATTACAAGTAGAACTCATTGTTCTACAGAAGGGAAAGAGTTAGAAGATCTCCCAAGTTACATCGTTGACGTGCAGATGATCATTTTGTAAGGAACATATGACAACTGATAGCAATCAAAGGCGTCCGACGGGTGTTGGTTGACGGCGATCGATGATCGTCGATGGCGGTTTTCGATGCTCGACAATGATAGATGGTGCTCGACAACGATCAAAGGTGGTTGACAGCGACAATAGTGCTTGATAACTGTAGGCGAATGTCAATGACGGTCGGTGGCGATCGACGGTGGTCGGTGGTGGACGACGACGGTCAGAGTGGTGTTGGACTTCAACTCATTCTCCATGCTTCAAGCCCTTCTCCAAGCCTCAAGCTCTCTTAAGGCCTCAAGTACCCTTCCCCCCTCCTGAGAGGGGTGGGTTCTATTTATAGCGTTTTAGGTGCAATTAATGCGGGAATATGATTCACTTTGATAGGACGGTTCAAACGACTTCCTTTGATTAGACGAAATTTAATGTACATTTGAGTTTCTTAATTATGTTGAAATTGAGTGATATTGGATTTGTTGGATTCATCTTATCAAGACGCTCGGTTTGATTATAGACTCATCATAATTGACATTCGTTAGACCTTACATGTGCATCCAAAAAACTTTTAAAAGCGGTTTAATGGCTTGATCTGCGCTTGATTTGATTTGAATTGCACCAATTTTGGAAACATTGAGTTATTCTCGTCGAACTGGTCAGTTGGACTTTAAGTTTGCTGAAATTAAAGTTTTGACTGACTTTTTATAGAAATTTGAATATTTCTTGGTGATCCGTGTGATGCTCACATGGGAACAACCCATGGTTCTCTGATTCAACTTCTATCATCTCCGGATTGCACTTATCACACTTCACCTGGGAATGACCCACTATTTGTTGCAGTAGCGTCTTTGAAACTGATACGCCACTCGACGAACACAATCTGCTAACCTTTGTTGAACAACACTCGCATCTTCTTCTTCGACACCTAATCCGGCAGAAGCCATCAGTTTCATCTCCCAAATTGGCGTCGTTGCAGATGATAGTAAAGGTGTTGTGAGTCTGATGGGCAGACACGATGTAGCAGTTGGGGTGTGAAGCCCGGGATAATGAAGGCCATAAGTTCAATTCCTACGAATTTACATATCTAACACCTAAATGATATTTTTATAATTATTACAAGATAAGAGTTGATCTTCAACATTTGTCCCAAGATTAAATTTGCTATAATATATTTATTGAAAGTTCCTTTCATTTCGATTATATATCTTAAATTTTTAAACATAGGTTGTATCGGAAGCTCATTAAAAAGCCAACAATATGTAGTCTACTATGAAAGCAAAAGAATGTAACTAATATCTGTCATACAAATAAGTTTCTGATGCAAATTAAATTTTCATATATTTACTCTATGCTCAAACTACATGAAAGAGAGGCCATACAAAGAGGCTTCAGACACCATATAAGAAGGGCAAAAAGATTGGTAAATTAAGATAGACAATTTTCTTAAGAATGGCTACAGAAAATAATCAAATCCTAAACAACGCAACTGAAAAGAGAGTGACCACCAGAATGATACCTATGTCTACAAACAAATAGACGCAATACGACTTGCTATTCCACTGCTTTCTTCTTTTAAGGCTGGAGAAATTAGCTTGTATAATCAATCATTCGTGTTATTCGTCTAACTTTTATTAATTTCTACACATGATGATTTATATTATAATCCCTATAATGTTTGCTATGTTAAGTCTGCAGAGTCCTTGTTCATGTAAAATCGGTACTGTCAGCATGGCTGCATGTATATCAGAGTATATTCTTATGTTCATGTCGCTGTAAACTTTCATAATCTCAAATAAAATTGAGGACCAGTATATATATGTCAGAGTATCAGTTGTGGCAAATCATTGAAAGTAATTCAGAATCAAACATAACATGCTTAAATTAAGGAAGATATAAACAAAAAAGACAGTCAGGATCAATGGGAAGCTTGGAAAACCTTTCCGAAGTAGCTTTAACTTCTAATTGTGAGTCCATCCTCTGCAATAATGCCCCAAAGCACAAGCACTTCTGATGGGAGGAGACCAATGGATTAGCATTTAGATAAATGGATTAATCCTTTATTATTTCTATTTTCTTCATCAGAAAAATAAGTGTCCATCTTCTATAAAAGCTAATTCTAGCACATACATAAAATTTGATATAGAAGGTAATCCACATGAGACTTCCTTCAACCATTTTCATAACTCCTCCATTAGCAAAGAGAGCCCCAAAACACTTGCATCTTCCACAAAATTACAAATACATAAAATATTCATCTAGTTCTCTAAAAGCAAAAAAAAAATTTAAAAATGATGATCAAATAAACACACAATTTTCTAAATCATATTTTCTGACTTCAAGCAACCAAATGAGCCTATATATAAAAAAAATTAAATCAATCACTTGCGAGGAATAGGAGCTAGTTGTATGCCAAGACATTTAATTGGTGGTTGATTCCAGTCTCGATAATATTCATTTTCTTGTACCTCTCTCTCATGCAAAGACTTGAGAAGAACAAATGGTTCCTGATGAGTTGAAGCTTCACCATGGCTAAGTAATGATGTTCCAATTACTGTAATTGAGAACACAAATATGAATAGGATTACTTTCAACTAATTTCTTATATTGAGTTGAATTTATCTCGAGATATTCCAAGCTAACTCTCTCCTCCCTCAATCCTTAAAAAATGGGGAGAATATATATATTTTTTTCTTTTAAGTTATATTATACCAATTGCAACAAAGATATGATTAATCAGACGTAACTTGCAGAAAAATGTTTGTTTTGAACACCAGAGAAGAGAGCGTTTTGTTCGAGTGATCGGTAGAGATTATTAGGAAATCTCTCACAAGACGGTGGTTGGCCATCAGGATGATCGGCACAGAGTATCCTCTCGGATCTGATGTCGATATAACTAAGGCTCAGTAAACGGTCAGTGAACTTCCCGTCGAGCGAATCAGTCTTCTAATTTTATTAATTGTAAATATCTCTATAACTGACCCAAAAGTCTCTCTGATAAATCAATGATGAGAGAACTAATGCATACTCTTGTAATTCTGGGGCCAATGTCTATAAATAAAAGATACATATCATGAATAAAAGGACGACACACTCTATGCTTTGGCGTGTTTTCGAACATTCTTTTGATTCAACACCTATTACTAAAAAAATATACATATTTAAAAAGTAAAAATAATATGAAAGGTTTGATTTGTTTAAATTTAAAAAATAATGCTTAGACAAATACATAGGAATCGGGTGGCACATTCATGCAATTGCCCCTATACTTCTAAGTTCTCCTTTAAATTAATTGTAAAGAGAAAAAACTCCGTAACTAACCAGACTAGCGCCCCATCCAAAGTTCAACTTCACACACCAAAACCAAATCAAACGAATAAGAAGAACCAAAACACGCATACTATCAACATGACCGCAGCCTGGGCCCTGCGATACTGTATCTGACGTGCAGAGTTGGACATCGGATCCCGTTCTAGCCCTACCAGAAAACTTGACCAATTCCAAGCCATTCTATTCTTCATTTTAAACAAGACGACAGTGAAAGACGCAAACCGTGGACTTGGACCTGCAGCCACCGTTAAGATGTCAATTCAATGCTCCGAAGCCACAAGTATAACAGCGCTCAAAATCTCATAAAGTTGGAAGTAGAAAGCTTCCATCTTTAGCATGACGAAGAAAGGGAGAAAACCACAGCGCCATCCCTTCTGTCTGGTCTTCTTACTTTCCTTGGTTTTGAGGGCAGAAGCTCAGGTAGGAGGAGAAGGAGTTCATGGAAGAATTCAAATTGATGTTGGAGTGATTTTGGATGTGGAATCATGGATTGGAAACATAAGCTTGAGCTGTATGAGAATGGCGGTGGAAGATTTCTATGCGGTGAACTCCGGCTACTCCACCAGGATCTCTCTTCACCTCCGAGATTCCGGCGGCGATGCTTTTGGCGCCGCCTCCGCAGGTAATTTTGATCACCTGTTTTGTCTCCGGTTTCCTCACTCTTCCGTTTTGTTTCTTTTGAAAATTTACATACATACCACAGAAATTTTTATGAATTTACATTTCTGATATCCAATGTTTGATATAATGTTATATTTATTTATTTATTCATTTTGGATGGCCCAAATTACGTCTCGCAAATATTAATCCAACTCAGTTAGATTTTAGTTTGACTCTCAAAATAAGAACTGAATCCTTCAGATTTTAGCATTTGAATGGTTCCAAGTGGTTGCTTGTGTTGACTGTTTGCATAGTTATTAAATATTAATTTTGTTTGGGTCTGGGTTAATCAATGAAAAGGCATGATGGGGACCTTTCAATTAATTGACTTTACAAACTTTCACAGTACATACACCTCCAACAAATCTTCATCATCCGACATGAATCTCGGGACATGACGCGGATCTCGATGTAACTTTTTGAGAAAAAAAACATTCAAACCTTGATAAAATAACATCTAGAACTTTGATTTCAACAACTTACAATCAAATTGACCGGCTCTACAAGAAGAACCCAAGGTTACCAAAATTGGCCCGATCCGAACTAAATTAAGCTTAGATCAAGCCGTTAACCGCTTTTGAAAGTTTCTGGACACATTTGAAAGGTCAAACGAATGTCGATTCTGATGAGTTTATGGTCAAATCGAGTGTCTTGAGAAGGTGAATCCGACGAGCATAATATCACTCAATTCTGATATTATTAAGACACTCAAAAGTTCATCAACTGTCGTCCGATCGAGAGAAACCGTCTGAGCCATCTGATCAAATTAATTTATATTTCTGCATTAATTGCACTAAGAACTCTATAAATAGAGCTACACCCCTCTCATGAGAGGGAAGGAGAGCTTGAGGCTTGAGAAATAACATGAAGCTGTAAGAAGAAATTGAAGTCCAACACCACTCTTGTCGTCGTCTACCACCGTCAACCGTCGTCTACCACCACCGTCGATTGTCGTAGATCAACGCCAACCGTCACCAACCTCTGCCGACTACCGCGATAGTCATCGACAAGAACTGACTGTCATCGAGCACTACTAGTGAATCAACCACTGCCAACTGCTGTCGACCATCGTCACCCTCCGCTAACCGCCGTCGATCGTCAACCCCTGTCGACTACCGACTGGACGTCGCCAATCATTATCAGTCGCCACCCGTCGACGTTGTAACTTGTTAAACCTAGTAACTCTTTCTCGCCTGTGGAACAAGTGTTTGCAACTATAATTATTTTTTTAAAGTGGAACTCTTCAGCTTGGTCAAACCCAGTGGTTTTTCCTTTTTCGGTTTTCCTCACAAAAACTTCTGGTATCATTATTATTCGTTTTCTCTTTTCTGAGTGTGTGTTGAATCTTCGTACCACATTAAAACGATAATCTGCTACTCTATTGCCGCACATTTTCTAGCACGCAACAATTTGACACCGTTAGTGGGAAACTTCAATCCCATCACTAAAGTGCTTGAAAGACATACTATATTGTTACCAGACACAATATTCATGATAACAGAGCATCCCGCTCCAATACACATCGTTCTAGGGAGCAATCAAGAAGCTAAGGATCAAATACTTCTTCCTATTCCTACCTTGAAAGACGTTATCCTACCAACATAGGCATCTCAGGTCCTTCTATAGAAGACCGAATGCTCAGAATGGAGCCCACACCGTTGAATGAAGTTCGTTTACCAGTAACTCAGTGACCTACGGGAAACTCACTGCTCGAAGAAACTCGTATCGGCCCCCTTCACCAAAAAGGAACACTTCCCCTGCCAGATCGTGATGCTGGACTCCAAGAAACTGCAATTTCCACTCATCTATCTCGCGCAGCTCACCTGACATTACCACGCCTTATTGTCATTCCAGATGATTTCATTTGTAACGAGCTACGATGCCTCGTCTGGGAAGAGTTCCCTCTAAAGAAAAAGAATAACTTCTCCACTCACCGTAACGTCCATGAGTCTTCTCCCTTAGAGGGAGCGGTCCTTCAACACCCCATCTCAACAGGCTTCAAGCTCTTGAACACCGACACTTACAAAGGGATAATTGTCCCTTATGAGCATATTAATCACTATAAAACCATCATGCGCATTCAACATATCTCTGATGCGCTTCTATGTCAAGTATTCCTGACCACTCTTAAAGTACAAGCTTACGTTTGGTTCTACTCTCTGCCAGTGGACACTATAAACACCTTTAATAAGCTTGTCAGACTATTCACGTAGCAATTCTTGGCAAACTAGTGGACCATCAATGATTCATCCCATCTCTCGGGAATTTGCCAAAGTGAAGGAGTGTCACTCAAGGGCTATTTCCGCAGGTTTTCCGCGGAAGCCTGTTAGATTTCAGGAGTGGATCTGAAGTTACTGAGAGAAGTTTTCTTTGGGGGGCTCCGCCCAAGGCCCTTCTACTCATCATTGATGAGGGAGACAATTCGTTTTTATGCTAAACATGTTCATCGTGTTGACGCCTAAATCACTGCGGATGAGGCCATCAACGCACATAAAGAGCAATTCGAGCAATTTGGGGGAAAACACAAAAGTAACGCCGGAGGCAATTATCAATCTTCGCAACGAAGAAAGTTTGAACAACAGAGGAATCGTTACCTCCCTCCGCAACCTGTTGGCCAACGAAGTGAGCATCGACTTATGAAAAAGTATACACCACTCAACACATCGCATGTTAACGTCCGGATGACCATCAAAGATGAAAACACTATTAAGTAGCTTCACCTCCTAAAACCTAACTCGGGGAATCAGGAACGATAATGTCATTTTCATTGAAGTCGTGGCCACACCACCATGACATGTAAGCAGCTCAAGGAAGAGATTGAAAGATTGATTTAATAGGAATATCTTGGTTGATTTGTGCAGCTGGTAATGATAATGCTCCCATTAGGGGACAACATACACAAAAACAATAACACGGCGACAACTACCACCAATCTCCAATGGCCGCCTTTGATCACCACTAACCACTTTTGACCATCACTGACCAGACACCACCAATAGTTATCGGTCGCCGTGCGCCGACATTGTAACTTGGGAAACCTATTAACTCTTTCCTACAATCAAATTTCCCGTCTGCGGGAGAAGTGGTTGTAACTGTAATCATCATTTTATAGCGAAACTTTTTAGTTGAGTCAGACCCCGTGGTCATTATTGGTTATTTTCTCTTTTTTTAGTGTGTGTTGAATATTAGTACCATGCTAAGACGATAATCTTCTACTTTACTGTCGAAAATTTCTTAGAAAGCATCAATAAGAAATCCCTAAAGCTGCAAAATCATTTGTAAAGCTTCCACTCTTTGTAAATAATTGGTATTATTATGAACCACCGCTATTAAATTATAATAATGCCGAGTAATTATTGTCAATTTTGATATAAAATTATGAAAAAAATTTATTCAAAAAGCTTTCTCATGTCAGCCAAATTTGATGTCCATGCATTACAGCCATTGACCTACTGAACAATGTTAAAGTGAAGGCCATAATCGGCCCACAACAATCATCACAAGCCAGTTTCGTAATGAATCTTGGAGACAGAGCTCGAGTTCCTATACTTTCCTTCTCTGCAAAGAGCCCTTCTCTCTCATCCAAACAAAGCTCCTATTTCCTGCGCACTGCCTATAACGACTCCACTCAAGCAAAGGCTATAGCTTCCATTGTTAAATACTTCAATTGGAGGGAGGTGGTTCTAATTTACGTGGATGATGAGTATGGCAATGGAATTATGCCTTACCTTATAAACCAATTTCAGCACATTGATGTCAGAGTCCCCCGCAGAAGCAGCATTCCTCCGTCAGCCACTGAAAGTCAAATCCTGAAAGAGCTTAACAAGCTCAAGAATATGCAAACAAGAGTATTTGTTGTACACATGACTTGTGAACTTGGCTTGAAATTCTTCAAAATTGCCAAAGAGGAGGGAATGTTGAACGAAGGATATGTGTGGATTACAACATATGGTTTGACTGATGTGGTGAATCTGATGGGTTCATCAGCAGCTAATGTCATGCAAGGAGTTTTGGGTGTGAGGCCTCTGGTTAACATGACCAGCAAGCTTCGTGATTTCAAGCAGAGATGGAGGAAGATATTCCATGAAGAGAATCCTGAATCCAATATAAACGAACCCATAGTATTTGGTTTGTGGGCCTATGACACGGTGTGGGCATTGGCCCTGGCGGCAGAAAAGGTTAGAATGGAAAATTTCGAATTTAGAGTGGGGGATATGAAGAATAGCTCAAATGATATAGCCAGTATTGGCTCATCTTCAGTTGGACCAAAGCTTCTTTCGGCAATACAAAGCACTGAATTTGATGGCATGGCAGGGAGGTTCCGTTTAATTGATGGCCAGTTGGAGTCTCAGGATATTGAGATAGTTAACGTGGTGAAGAATGGCAGCACAAGAATAGGCTTTTGGGCTCCACCAAATAACGTCTCGGGGCGGAGAAATTCAAAAGATAAGCTTGATGTTGTCGTTTGGCCGGGGGGAAGGGAAGGAGTGCCGAAGGGGTGGGAGTGGCCCACGGCGGGGAATAAGCTCAAAATTGGTGTTCCGGTGAAGCCTGGTTTTCCTGAAGTTATTCGTGTTGAATTGGATCCCGATACTAACAAGCGCATTCCCAAAGGGTACTGCATAGATGTTTTTGATGCTGTCATGAAGAACCTCACTTATGCTCCATATGATTATGTACTTTATGAAGATGGCAATGGACAAATGAATGGGACCTATGATGATCTTGTTTACCAGGTTTATCTTCAGGTTTGTTAGGTTGACTTGAACCTACCACTTTCTCTTTATAGAAGTCAATGTTGTTTTAAAAAAATATCATTTTTTTAATCATTATATATATATAAAAAATTCAACCTTTTCATGCATATGTAAGATTGCATATTTATAAAAATTGAAGTATAGGTGTTAGAACTGTTAATACAGAAGAAATGAATGGTATGCATGTAAATCTTCCCAGTCTTCTTCTTCTCGGGGGTGTTGGAATGGAAAAGCTTTTAGGAAATGACAAAGGCTAAAAAACAACTTATGGAAGAAGCTTCACTCTTATTTAACACCTTAACTTGGCTTGATACAAACTCAAAGACTCCACCCCTATTTATACTAGTGGCACCTCCTAAATTAATGGCTAAGATTGTGCCACCACAATTACAATCCAATGGTTACAAATAATTCCACACCTACCACACAATAATTCAAC